GTAATCACAGTTTATTTTTTACGTTTCAGAAATTATTAGATAAAAATGAACTTTGAACTCGTACTGTTCAAAATATTCTTTAAAATGAATGCACAATCACACTACCAAAAAATTAATTTGTTATGCATAAAAAATAGCTAATCATCATCAGCTCACTTAAAAAAAGCACAGAACATTACAAAACTAATAAATGGATAAGTAAATTACAATAGGCTTTGAGTATTAATAGTCAAAAGTCAAAAGTCATAAGGGTCAAGAGTCAACTCAATACTGAATCAATTTATGTGAAATACAAATACAACTGAAATGCAATAGAAGCGACTTCAATTATTCAAAATGAAGAAACCTTAAGGAAAGATTCTTACTGAAAACTTCATCGCAGGCCATCCAAAAATCTAAGGTCAAATATTTTTTAGATGGACAAAACAGTGCATCATGGTAAATATATAGAAAAATACAAAAAAACTTCCGTACAGAAATATACAAAAATTGAATATAGACAATGAAAATTCAGCATTAGCTGGTTCAATTTCAAAATTATGTAAAATGAAAAGTAAGCACTGATTTGTTTACTCAATTCTAAAAATATACATGTCGTAGCAGTAATAGAATTTATTTTAAAACTATACACACTTTTATAATTACTTAATTTTTTAGTGCTTTTTTGATGCTTCCGAACAAATATTTCTAAATTCACGGAACGTATAAAATCAAATATTTTTATTTTGAATTCAAAAAAGTTATTATTTTGTTCCAAGTTTCTTGTGCAATACACGGAATAGATAGAACAATTAATATTTTCTAGCCAAAAAAGGATAATTAAAGCAGTTATAAATCTGCTTGAGCCACAAATATCATAATTCATCCACAAAGTAAACAAAAATCAAATTAGACTTCTCAAAATTACCATATTTATAATGAGTCAAATCAAACTTGAATGCTTATTTTTCCTTTAATTTGAAAGTATAAATGATAATTTTTAATTTTTTTCGAATTTTTTGAAAATATAAAAAATAAAATTTATTTTTAACTTTTACTTTATATCAACTATTCAATGTATACATATAAACGGTTTATTTGTATAAAGTAAATAATCCAAAGAAGTTTAGATTTTAGTTGCAAAACGGTTTTCTGATGACAAATGAAATCAGAAAAATGAATAAAATGCCTTGTTCGGATGAAGGACGAAAATCAGGTCAGATCAGTTCTTGCAATGGGATTTTTGATTTTTTTTATGAAATTAATTTTTCTTTTATTTTTTATGAATAATTACTACTCGTAATATATGAATTTAGATTTGATCACGTTGTTTAATCATTGTAATTACCAAAAAAAAATATTAATAACTTTATATATTCATTAATAATATATGATAATAATAATTTTCACTTATTTATTATTGTGAATAATAATAATAATGAATAACAGTAAAGCAGAAGTGGTCACTGTTTGTTCAAAAATGTGAAAATATTCAAAACCATAGAAATTGTAAAACAAATTAATTACTGAAGATTGAAGAAAAAAGAATATATTTTTGTAAAGAAACAGCTGTGCAATTTATTCAGTGTGAAATGCAACTTTTCAAGCAAAAATAAAAAAATAAAAAACGCATTTTTTTTTAAAATTAAAGATTTTTCAAAAATTTATGAGCATGAAAAAAATATTAGTGATTTCGTTTTTAGCATTTTGTAATATTTTTTCTAAATTTTTTTAAAATTTACTAAATTTATTTGATCAGTTTTTGATTCGATACTTATTGTAAGCAAATGATTGAGGACAAATATAAATACAAGTATACTTGACCTTAAAATATAGTAAAGTATGAAAAAGACTGACTTTAAGTTTTGATTTATTAAATACGTAAATAAGCTACTGTATAGCAAAAAGAATAATATTTATGAATTCCAAATAAAACAAGAAAAATTAATACCGTACATACATTATGTGTAACTTTTTTGAAACTGAGAATCAAATTTCGCAGAATTTTTAGTTGTATTTGAAAATTAATTTTTACTTAATATTTTCCTAATAGAGTGGGATGATGTTATTTATTGAAAGATTTATTTGTATTACTGCAAATAGAACTTAGTAAAAACTTGACATCAAAATAATGTTCTTTGTGTTATACAGTAACTTATTTACATATTTAACAAATCAAAACTTAAAATCAGTCCTCAAAATTAGTTTTTATTATAATTTACTGCATTTTCCGAGACACGTAGAAGCAGTTTGACCTCATCGTTATTTATCAATACAAGGATTTATGAAAAAAGCTTACGAAAATTAGTTTACCTAAAATTTTTTGTTTTCAAAGTGCTATAATATTATATGCAATCGATGAATACCTCATTTTTCATAATTATTACCAAAAAAATAAATCCAAAAGTTGACTTATATTAAAGTTAGTTTTAAGTTAAGTTTAGTAGTAGTTAGAGTAGAGAGAGTAGAATAGTAGAGAGATCTGAGTAGTAATTTAGTTTAATTTGGCTTTAGCTTTAAGTTTATTAAAGTTCATACAAAAGATTATCCATGTTTATTTCAAGATGCAATACATTTTACTAAAATGCTTGATATACTTTTCCCTTCAAGTATTTCTGTATGATTTTTTGTCATTTTATATCAGAATTCAAATAATCGCCCAAATTTGAATAAAATTCAAAAATTTGAATACAAAAACGCTCGATCACAATTACAGTAAATATGAAAATTATTTTCTCATATTTACACATTCATACGTTTAATAAAAGCTTGACATTATAAAAATGATATTTATTTCAGTTTTGAAAATTACTTTTATGATTTCAAGCATTTCTGTTTCCGCTAGCTGATATAAGCTTATCACTTCACTCGGTATCATTTCCATACATTCGTTTTGAATAAAACTTTTAAAACTTTCCTGTTCATACTGCATTACTTATTATGATCTGAGGTACAAAAGTATTGAAAAATCGATAAAATATATTTTATCATTGAAAAAGTTTTTATCTAAGATAAAAATTATCATGTAAAATAAAAATTACTTATTATGTTGCTTCTATCCCCTAATATTATTGTAAATTCAGAAAATTTTTGTATGATTAAAATATAAAAAAATAATAGAGTTTATTTAGATTTGTACTGCCAATATATTCCAATAATAATTGAAATACACTCCAAATACAGATAAATAAAAAGCAAAATAAATATGTAGTAGCACTCAAAAATGGATTAACTTTATTCAAAAAATATTTATATGAGAAATTAACTTATAAAAAATAAAAAAGTCATGCAAAATCAAAGCGATGAATGTAAAAGGTATAACTTTTTAAGTAATTTTGTTAAAAGAAATTAATTATTCAGTAATTAATAAATTTTTTTCACTACAGTTTTGCGAAACTTTTTATTTTACATCAGAAAAATATAGAAAAAAAACTTTTCTTAATTTTAAAATTTAATTTTTTATTCATAAATATTTGCAATAAAGTTTTCAATGAAGTTTTTTTGTTTCCAGCAAATATATTAATTATAACTAAAAGTTAAGTCTAATTTAATTAATACTTATAAGTTCAATAAGTTTAATTAATACTTATAATCTTACCTGAAACCATTATTAATTATTTATGCATTGCATAATAATACTATATATGTAATAATTGTACTACTTGATTTTTGAGAACTGTTTAGAAATAGTAATAAATGACTTTCCGTCAATTTACCTGTCCGTAAAGGTCACAACTGATTTGATCAATATTGATATAGCGATGTAACCCACGGAAATGCGTTTTATCATCCATCACATCTGAGATTATTGTTGCAAATGGAATAATTCTTGATCTAGACAACCTTGACAAAATACATACCTCAGTATTCTTTGCATATACAACCTTAATTCATAACTTTGTAATTACTACATTTTCTTAAATTCAGCTTGAAGTGCAATTCATTTTTCATTTTAGAATGTAAGCAATTTATGTGTTTCATCTCTTATTTCATCTTGCAACAGTAAAACAAATACAGCGATGTCAAAGGTTAAAAATAATAGACAGTAATACAAACAACTTCAAAAAATCATTATTACTGTCAGAGCAACTCCAAAAAATAATGATAACATTATTAAATATAAAGATAATCATATATCATTATTAATGACATTTTAGCAGTAAAAAAAATAGATTGTTGAAAAATTACATGAAGAAGAATCGAAAAATGCGATTACTTGACAGCTAAATTAAAATGATTAAAATTTCTCGTGATAATTGCGCATAAAGATAAAACAACTGAGAATAATTGCTGATATAAATTAGAAGACGTAATTTAGAGCCTTAAAATTATACAAAATTGATCAAACGTAAGAAATTCAATAAAATTTTACAAAATTGATCAAACGTAAGAAATTCAATAATCTCATCTTTAATCCTTTTATTGTAGCCATCATAAAAATTTTCTAAATATAAAGCACCATTATTTATTTTATGGTATTCTTGCTCTTAATATTAAAGTAATAATAACTATTTTTATACTGCTTTAATTTGTAGACGTTTGTTTTAATCGCAAGAGTAAAATTGACTTTAACACGTTTTGGCATAAATCAAAACACACTGAATACTTGAGAAATAATAATCAGTTACTTTCATCAGTAAAAGTAAGCAGTGATAAAAATCTTCACGTACGAATAAGCTTTAGCAAACTTTTTGAAGTCATTTTTGACGTGCACAAAACAAATTTCAATCAAATTACATTAAATTGCTGGTAAAAAATGTGCAAAATAAAAAAGTATATATTGTAGATTATTTGAATATCATTTTTTGTAGCCATTGCGATATTACTTAAACTGATTTGAATACAAAAAAAGATTATTTTCGTTATTAAAATCAAATTACCCATAAAATAATGAAGAAAAAATATATATGAACAGTTTAGAAGAGTAAATATCAGGGATATGTACAATAACATAACGGTAAATTGCTAACAACAATAAATCGTGCTATTATAATTTAAAAAAAGCAAATGCTAATATCGATAGCAAATATGGTAAGCTGCAATAATAATGGATAGCTTCTGGTTGGTAAAAGTTCAGTGCCTTTACTAAATTATTTCATCGTAAAAATAGGCTATTTTTGTTGGAAGAAAATTAAAATTAGCCTGAAAAATCTGCAACCTAAATTGTATTCAATTGAATTGTCAGTTGCAGTTTAAAAATTTAAATAAAAATCATCCAAGTGATTAATCCATAACAATTCCAAGTTATTAATCCATGAGATAGTGTGCATATCCTCAAGTTATTGTAATAATTAACAATAATAATAATACTATTTCTACATACACAATCTTATTAAAAAATCGCTACAAACTCCGAAGAATTTTACTAATTCTTTTATAAATGCCACAATATCAACCGTGGCATATATACAAAATAATTATGGCATTTGACCTGCGCTACTTTAATCACTTTTCATGCGGTCGCATATTTCAATCCATTCATTACAAATATAATGCAATTATCAGCATAGTACCTCAAGAAAATAGCAAGATAAGCTCTCGAGGAATTCTATTACTATTTTTTGACTTACATAATTTCTCTTCCACATTTAGATGATATCTTTATTACTTTGTAAAATGATTGTTGATAATTGTTTCTGAAGTTATAATTATCAAACTAAGCAGGTAAAAAAATGCGTTCCTTCTTCAATTTATGCGATGATGAAGAAAATGAGAAAGAGGTCAACCAAATTTATTTCCTTTTATGATTAACTTGCTGGAAAATAATTTTTAGTTTCCAACAGCATTAACAATAGTAATATTAGAAGAATGTTACGATTAATGGTAGGATAAATTTTTCAACGAAATGCATTAAATTTGTTGGTGACAAAAAACTAATTCGTAAAAACCACAACAAATATAAGAAGAATTCAATACTGTTGTAAATTTTATACGAAAAACGTGGATTCTTGTCTAATAGTGACTGAAATTTCAACTCAAGAATGACTCAAAAGTATTCATTCATGTCTGATGCATTCATATTAACTGATCTTCAATACAATAAAAATATTTCAAATAGATCAATTTGTAAACACTTAGGAAATTCTTCAAATGTCAAGTGACTGATATTGAAAGCAGGCGTAATGAGCATTTTTTACAAAACCAATATGTTTTTTACTTCAAAACAAATACTTTATTCAAGAATAAATGACGAGCTTTTACTGTAAAGAAGGTCAACATAAAAATGAATCAAAATATTACAAGTGATCAGAAGAAATATCAAAAAGGCTCCATTGTTTCCTTATCTACGAACCATGACAAGTTTCCGGATTTAGGTTTAACCACTGCCGCTGGTAAGCTTGAATTCTGATTATTGATGATAGTCTTAAAAATTATGATAATCTAGAATAATATAAAAAATAGTAGTGTTTTACAACTTCTCAAGAAAATGATGCGCGATAAATTTTCTGGCACATTTCGATCACTTGCTAAAACACAAACGATCATTCTTATTTCTAAAAGATATCAAGAGATAACAAGGTTAACATCGTATAAAGATTATTTGCATTTTAGATGCTTACTTGTATTAGTCGACTTTTATTTCTACCAGTAGAAATAAATGCTACGTGACGGGAATGATTAATAACAGGAAGTGTAAAGGTTATTCGTCTCGGCGGTGGTTTTGGAGAATCCTCTACTGCTGAGACCCATCTTACATCCTCCTAAATGTTATATTTGCTAATTTTGGAAATGCTATAATTACGCTGTTTTTCATAAAACGAAAATTTAACAGTTCAAAGATTTCAAAATAAATAACTCAAAAGTACTTTATTGTGAACATAATGAAATAGCCTATTTACACTTCTCAGATGCTTAATAAGTACAAGAGCATACTCTTTCAAATCCATAATTTCAAAAGTTTATAGTATCCATAAATTATCAGCTTTAAGTATCAATTTCAAAAGAGAAACAAGAACAAAACATTTCGAATAACCATTTAATAATATGAGTAACTATTTAGATTTAGTAGGGCTTTCTATGATTCGGTCTATCATTAAAGAATTTTTAGAGCTAAAAAATTATTAACTTCACCTTTAACACTGCATGTTCCGGAAACAAAGAGCACGTATGACCATCTGGACCAATTCCTAGCAGCACTAAATCAAATACAGGCCAACCATCTTCCATATCCATATTACAATTACGTATTTCTCGTTCATAATTGATCGCACATTCTGTTGCTGAGATTTTTCTTTTCATATTAATCGGTCTCAAATATTGTGGTAAAAAGAAACAAATTAGGCAGAACTCGGAGTTATTGTTTCACTTGGATCTAAAGTATATTATTACTTAAAATTATACAAATCCATCATCAAATCATTGATTTTCATCATTTTCCGATAAAATGAGGAAATAGAAAACGAAATAAAGTCGGGAATAGAATTACTATTATTAAAAGGTCCATATTTTGCAAATATTTGGCTTAAATTTTCAGACAAAGTGTTAATATATGCTCCAGTATTTGATTCACTGTCATCCAATGGAACCATTCGTTCATCGGCCATAAAAATGCGCACTTTTGTCCAGTTAATATCTTTCAATCTTGACAACAAGGGTGCTACCAATGCTGGCATTGAACCACCTACAAAAACTGATCGTGCAATATTTTCCCACATAACTTTAGATTTGATGTGATTCTTGATAAACCATTAACTACTTAATTTGTGTTCAGTTAATTTTGTATTTTTCATATACTCGTATTCACATATAGAACATAAAATTATGTTATAAAACTTGAAACTAAACTGAAATTTAAACCGCACAAAAACTAGAATTTGAAATGCCTTTAAACACGCAGTTTTCAAACTCACTTTATGTTTGATGACATTTCAAGCACATAAAACTGAATAAGAATGACTAAGATCTGTGACGCTTACCAGACAAAGCAATATTAGCAACATTCCTTTCAGAAATTGCATTCGACAAGATCTCCTTCAAATATGATTCTAATTTACTTTGCATATCGCAAACATTTTGACCAATCACAACTTTATTACCACTGACTAGAGGTGTACTCTGATTAAGATTGTTGGCTGACATCTTTTCATAAAATTTTTGTTAATCTGAAATACAGATCAAGAAAATTTATCCCAGTGTCTTTAGCTCAAATAGAACGTCCAAGACTGAATGGAAGTAAAATTACTATTTACTTTAAACTCGTTTTTTTACGGTCATATAAACATTACAAACGTTTCGCTATACCTATGAGTATTTTCAACAACAAATGACCAACATTAAGCACTAGTAATGCAATCAAACTTTAAAGTATAGCGAAACTTTTGTACCACTACTTCTGGAGTTTGAATGCAGTTTACCACTTGAGTAAACAAATATTTGATTGTTACAAAAAATAGAGTGCAACAATAAAGACACGAATGAATACGAGCAAAAATTTATCAGAACAATTGCATCCCAGAAGACCTAAACAAAAAAGAGTAAGAACACTTAATAGATAACCTCAATTAAAAAATTATTTGCAGTACATAATTTTTAATAAGGCTAATCTCCAAAAAATTAATACATCTTTTCACGAGTAATTCTTCATTCCATTTCTTCATCGCGTTTAATTCTTACGACTTTAATCATCTTCTAAGGGAAAAACACGAGAATAGAACGAAACTAACAAAATTTGTGATGAAAAATTAAACTTAACCTGCACTAATAGGAATACAAGGACTGCAAATGACAATGACACAAAAGTAATAATTATATTAAAAAACTAAGAAAAAACGAAAACACATCTTTTCGATTACTTTATGTTTGTGCTCTGTAACAACAAGAACTTTGAAGATCTTTCCACAGTAACCATAATGATTACACTTCACTTTTCGCTAGCTGCAAAGCGACTTCTGTTGCTATACTTCCTGCTGTATCCCGTTTCAGCAATTCTTTTATCTCCAATGAAATGATCTGCTTTTATAATTTCGCACGACTTTTATTTTAACTGCTGTTCACCAACCCAAAAAAATAGCTGTTCACTGATATAAAAATGCATTCAAATAATAATATATTTATACCTCGTAGGAAAGAGAAGCATCGTAGGCAAGAACAACCGCTGTATCGTACAGAGGAATATGATACATAGCAAGGATATTCACACAATTCACAACACGCGCAATAACTGATCGAATATTTATTGGTACAACCTTCAAACATAATAAGAAAAAACATTTAATTTTAATACACCATACATGAATATATATGGTGTCGATCAAAGCGACTTTTTTTCATATATATGAAAAATTAATCAACCTACTTCCTCCAGATTTTGAGTATATCCACCAGTCACATTTCGTTCTTCATTTGCTATCGGTGCAACCCAAATATAACCATTTCGGCCAAAAATAACAGTAACGCCACAAGGCAAGTTATGAAAGTGACTTTTTCTTCGTTTGATCAAATAAGGAGAAATTTTGACCAAAGTTCCTTGTGACAACTGAAAATATTAAAGATATTTTTTAAGTAATAATATAAAACTATCATAATAAGTTTTTAAAAAAGTTATAAAAACTGATATATCTCTAATCTAAAGATATATCAGTCGATAGTGCCAGATATGGATAAATGCAATGAAAAGAGTAGACCTAAAAAATATTGGTAAACAAATTTAACCAAATCAAGAAGCTAGAAAGCTTAACCTTTCCATATTTTAGACTTCTAGTGTGCAACAACAGCTGTCCATCTATTTGCACTTTCTGTACCTCGGCCTAAAGATAAATTATGTCAAGCAATTAAATTCATTACTTTACACTGAGTACTAGAACACAAAACTGCAACAAATGTAAAATTGAAAGTGACAATACAAAAATTTAAGCAAAATATTACACTAATTAGATCTCCTTCTTTGAGGTATTCACGCATCATTAGTTCATCTTCCACCGATTTTCTTCTCTGATACAATTCAAATAAAACATGACGAGAAAGGAAATGTATAGAATGAAGTACGAACGAAGTCTTAATATCAAAACAGTTGACGTGAAGATAAAAAAGGACTATACCAATTCGCCACCAGGCAAATTTACACTTGAAAGAAGTAAAGTCGAATCAAGCCTCGAATTCGTTTCAACTTTCCATCTTTTCTGCTGTACTTCCGTAATTCGACCAATTACCACATCACCAATTTCTCCATTATATCTAATGAATTTAGAAAAGTTTCCTTAAAAATACATTTATAAATAGATGCACCTCAAAAAACTTGATTTACTCATGAAACATTTTTAAATTACCTGCTTTTCACTGGACGCACAGAAATTAACTTATTAACTTGCTCCACCGCGCCAGCCACGGACGCAATCAAATCATCATCACGCATGTACGTCCCATGTCCTCTAAATCATCCCAAAATGAATTTTATGCGTGTGATAAACTACAGAACGATGGAATGTACAAATATCGAGATATCTAATTATCGTTCATTAATTCCACATTATGTAACGCAAAAAAAATAGAAGACCACCACAAGCTTACACATTTAGACATCACGAACCAATGTCTGGAATTGACAATCAATTCCCTATACAAATACCTCATATAATCGGGATTAGATGTGATTTTGACCCCTGGTACAACCAACTTGCTTTCAGGAACTCGCTTCTCCTTTTCAAATAGTTCCAAGTCCAGAGACTCAGAAGGACCAGCAATTTCCAGATTCATCTCAGATCCACGTCAAAACCGAATTACACACACTCAAGCAAATATATAACTTTCAAGGAAAAAAATTATGAATAGCATCAACCTTAAGTTAGACCGAATACAATGTTTTAGCCCTTATCCTTACAAATATTATATCCTCAAATACCGTTCAAGATTTATAAAATATTGAGAAATTTATAAAATTAGAAATATTGATAAATGAAAGTGCAAATAGCTTGCAGTCAAACAAAAATTAAGAAAATTAGATAGATTTTTATTCAGTAAAAGTAATTTTCATTCACTTCCTATGTGACAATAGCAATTCAAACATATCTTAGAGTGAATTTATAAATATGCCACGACTTTTAAAGCAATTAACTTCATATATTTTCTCATTGACAATGGAGGCATCAAAAAATTTTACAAAACGATCAAATTATGACAAGAGACTACCAAAACATTTATCCAAATTTATAAATGTTACAACACCATACATAACCGCAATTATTCAAACAAATCAAGTTCTACACAAAATTTAATTTTTCTGGTCGCCCTTACAAATAATATTTAATCGAAGAATTTTAATCAAGAAATTTTCAGTGTGAGCAATCAGTGCAGCAAAATTAAAATTTCAACAAAGAGTTCCCTACAGCTAATCAGGTAATAATTAAATGTTATAACAACCCATCGTCATCATTAGCATCAGATGGCAATCCTATAGCATGAACAATATGAGATGTTACAGCTGCCTCAAGACAAGAATGAACATAAGTTGTTGCTTTTTTGGCTGCTTCCAAAAGTGAAGACAAATGATTTTTATGTAATCTATTTTGCAATTCAGTTAGTACAATCTCCTTTTGCCCTGATATTGTAGCTATTGTTATTCTAGGAATTAAACTAGTTTCTTCACGAGAACAAACATCTACGCAAGGGACTCCGTCAGATGAACAAGCACATGATGCTGCGGCAACTAAACCACGCATTGGTACACCAGCATCAGCTAAAGCTAATGTCCCTGCATTCACGCATGCTGCTAGATGACTACCATCTGCCTTAAATTCACAAACTATGAGGAAGATACCATGATTCTTAGAGACAAAACATCACAAAACTATTTTCATGTCATAAAAAACTAATTGAATACACTAAGAGAGTAAACTAGCAGGCTAATGCAAAAGAAATTGCTCAAACGAATGTGCAATTCTCGACAATTAAAAGACAACATAAAATTGAGTACTTGCAAAAGTTCGAAAAATATATCGATTTGAGATCGAGGATAATATTCGGTGAGAATTGCTGACTCGAAAGCCTTTTCCATCAATCGAGCAAATTCACGTGACCGACGATCTCCTCGTGGACGCTCCTAAAACACAAATTTTAACAATCAGGAGAGAATATGATTAAGCAAACACTACCAATAGTAAATATATTTTTTGCTAGAGAGTAACCATGTTTATTTTTTTTTGATAACCTACATACGAGGCAATAATATATATATAATTGCCCAGATACTGTTTGCTTGAGGTAAGATTTTGTTGTATCATAAAAAGTAAACTTTTCGTTCAGTCGTTGAAAATGTTGCCATACTATATTGGCAATTAATAATACAACGGTCTTCCATAATACGACTTCGTTGCTTGGGTTCGTGCGGACCATACACTGCACAAAGGACCTAAAACTATGCCTATTTAATCCTAATAAAAATTCAAGAATATTTCTTATTTCAGTAATTATAACAGTGAAACAATATTATCTTTCAGAGCCACAAAACTGTCAGCTGTCAAAAATTACAACTCATTCCACCAGCTGATACCGACAATGAATTGCAGTGTTTAACATATTAATTATCAAATATCTGAGAATGCTACAGTACAATATTATTGTAATTATTCTACAAAAAATCAACAAACTTTAGTGTTGCCTTGTTCAAAATATGATGAACCATCAGCTTGAGAATACACATTCATTTTGAAATTAATGTTTCGAATTTCGTGTGGGAGCCGGCCATCTTGGCGATAACCAAGTTCTGATATAATATTCATTTTGACGCTTGCACAACAAAATGTGCAACAGAAGTTAAAACCTGCAAATAATCGAAATAAAACTTACGCAATCAGAATTTTAAATATTCAATTTATATTCGTGATCTGTAAAACAATAAAGAACTTCTAGCACCTATACATTTAAATCTCAGAGCAATAAAAAAAATTAATATAATACAAGGAATACCTTATTAAGCCAAATGCTTATTCTTCTTTTTTGAAAATTTTTTTCGGTGCTTGCTCAGCAAATATCAGCGCTAATTGCTGGTTTGTTCGCGTATATTTATCAACACCTATAAAAATCTAACGCTAAAATAATCTTGAATATCCTATTTAAATCCGTAACCTTTTAAATAAAAAAGTTTAAGTAGCACCCACACATTCAGACCTAAGAATAATTCAAAAATATGAATATAATGACTGAAGTTTCGATGACGAGCCAATTAAACCCCAATAATTCGATAAATTATCAAATCTCTTGCGTATTTTATTGCTTAGTGAGCTATTCAAACATACACAAATCAGCAAAAAACATTGACATATTAAGGAGAGAAGTAATTAATGGTAGAGCATACAGTTGTGGACGCAATTCGTTTCTGATTCAATTAATTTGTGATGATTAAATTCTCGAACACAAGTACGGAAGCACAATTCTGTTAAAGCGTTGTATACAGTAAGAGATTCTTTAATCTAAAATTATTATTAACAACATAATTATAGTTATTATCTAAATGAATAAAAACTAATCATATAAATATATAATATATATTCAAATTATAAACCACTTCTGAATTAGAATTCCACTACGGGAATATGCATAACATACAATAGTGACAATAAGGTTTTAGGCTATTTTCCTTATCTGAAGAAAGTATAAAAATACAAAAGTTATTAAAACTCATTTGATAATTTTTTTCTGGCAAAAACCTATGGTCATTTAATACAGTACTACACAACTAAATTTTTGTCAGTGAATTACAAAGAAATAAGATTCAGATAACTCACGTGTTCAAATTTAGTATTCATTGGGGTAATAAGTGATAGTGGTACTTTACGGCTAGTTTTTTTTCTACCAGGTTGCGATGAGTTACGTGTTGCATGAAATAAGTTGAAACCACGTCTGGAAATTGTCGTATGATTCTTATCTTTTCGTCTTATATTAAGCGCATACTTATTAATTGTTTAATGACGAAATATATTTAGTTTAAGTTGTGGAATTTAGATAGTATAGACAAGTATCTATATATAGTGTCGTATACTATGGTACAGGTTACAGTGGTTGCTATTTTGTAGAGTGGAATTCATTTTCAGCATTAAGATGGTGTCAACTTCAGAAATTCCGGTTTCGAAGTTACTTCGTCAAGGAATTGGCATAAGTGATGTGCAAGAAGGACGAAAAAGCAAAGATGAATACAGAAAGCAAAAAGTATTGTAATTTTCATGAAATTTTTTTAAATGTGATAAAAAATAATAAATTAAAGATGTATGTAAGAGATTTTGTGCATTTTAAAGGATTTGGAAGAAGAGCAGAAGTTGGGTATAGCTCCAGCAACTGTTGATGTTGTCACAGGACGTGATATTAATCCGCATATTCCAGAATTTATTGCAAAACATCCATGGTATGTTCCAGCAGATGGACCTACTTTACAGGTTTTTTTTAGATTTATATTCTGATATTCAAAATAAGTACATAGTGATTAGCCATTAAAAATTATGATTTCGTTCGTTCATTCGTGGAAAACATTCATTGCGTTTTAGTACTAGAAGTTATTGTGGTAATCAGTATTCTTTAAAATACATGACGATTACAGCATCAAAGGCCTCATGAAGAGAGACAAATCAAGTGGTCATCGATTGAAGACTGGTATAAAAGAGGTACTACGAATGAAGTAGTCACCAAATTTCGAAAGGTTAGCGGATAACATGTGCAAATGTAATTTCATAATTCAATTAGTGGTACTTATTCAGTAGTATGAAATTTCTTTACTTTAAAATTTGGTTTTTTAGGGCGCATGTGAGAATTGTGGTGCATTAACTCACAAAAAAAAAGATTGCTTAGAAAGACCACGTAAAGTAGGTGCAAGATGGACCAAGCAGGATATTGCTTCTGACGAGTATGTCCAGGTATGCTCCATTATCGCCATTTAATTTTTTTCTTGTTCTGAAAATTTAGAGCCATTTAAAATTTAAAGAGGCTTTCATTAGTTAGTTGTTAGTCTTTATTTCTATGAATAATCATTAAACGAGTTTTTTAGCGTTTAACTTGCTATTTGATATTGATATTGTGATCGTTAACTCGGATTGTTTCTTTTTCAATCTTAGTTTTTATGATAATTCATCACATTTTTGTCCGGTAATTATGTATCATATAAGCACATATATAATCAAGCTTTTGCTTGCAGCCAAATTTGATACTTGGTTGGGATGCGAAGCGAGATCGATGGAATGGTTATGACCCTCAGACGTATAAAAAAGTTATTGAAGAACATGAAAGATTAGAGTACACTAGAAAGCTGATAAGGGAAGAGAAGGTTTTGGAATCACATTCATTTGGAAATAAGAGTTGTGGAATCATATTTATTTAGAAAATAGAATGCTGTACATTCTGTTAGATTTTTTTTTCAGATGAGAGAAGGATTATCAAAAGAAGAAACGGAAGCTGCAAATACCCACAATGCAACAGAAGAAACAGCAGATGAAGATATGTATGCTGATGATGCTGACATGGCTGGTGTGACTGTAGATATGGACTCAAGGACACGAATCACAGTACGAAATCTTCGTATTAGGTACAGAAATCAATACTTTTTGTATTCATTTATCTAATTTCAGAAAACAATAGTAATTTTAAACAAAAATTTTAGAGAAGACACCGCAAAATATCTTTATAATTTGGATCCAAATGGACCATACTATGATCCCAAATCGCGTTCCATGAGAGAAAATCCATTTGCGGTGAGTAAAATGCAAATAAACATTAATGACTTTGTATAATCAAATTATATATATATATATATATATATATATATATATAT